TCTGCCAGCTTTTCAGCTGTTGTCCATGCAGGGCTCAAACTCTTTGGTATTTGCCCGGTTTAGGTCATGAATATGTTTCATGAAGGACTCACATCGAAGCCATTCAAAAGCTTTGTTTCTTAAAGCTTTAGTATTATCCTCTTTCCTTGTACTTATGTATTATGAAGGCTAAATTACAGCAAAGTCTCATTTTATTAAAGATTTCCCCCAACTCAGGTGTGTGTAGAGGAGAGGAAAACTGATGTAAAGAACTATTGATGAGGTAGGTAGGGGTGATGGATGATGGAGCTCCAGGATTCATTACTTCCCTGGATGGGTCACAGGGTTGAGAATCCAGTAGGGGATTTTAATTTGGAATTTTAAGTTTATCAATTGCAGCTTTTTTCTGAAATAAAATTTGCATTTGTGCACATCTGGGCAGATGAGGGCATGGATTTGGAAACGCTTACTGCTTTTGGCTCCGATCTGTGTGTAAATGGGAGAGTGATGTAAATGATATCCATCATACAATGTCATATATATAAATATGATATTGGGTGGTATCTAAATGTAATATATGTATTATAAGACACTGTATGATACGCACATGTATATATATTACTGTATAAATGACATGTATCAGCTGCTTCCATCCAAGCATCCTGAGGCACTTTATGTAAAATAGGGTGGAAGTTATTCCTTTCTGGGAATAACATCTCACTGAAAGCACGAGGTTAAAGCTGTTTGCACTGTGTGTTCCATGTTAGCACATCTGGCAGCTGTATTCCCAGGTGACTTACTACAGGGGGCAGTGGCAGCTCCACAGCTCCATCTCGATGGGCCCCGGGGGAAACCTTCCGAGCACCTCCCCATGAGGACACAGGGAGGATGCTGACGACCAAGGTGAACACACTGTTCCCTTGCTCTATCCTGCTGACAATCAGCAGTGCATCAGTGGAGCAAATGTGGCTCATGACAACCATGGGGAAGCTGGCTCCACAGTGCAGCTCCAGGAGCTGGCCACGTGCTGGAACAGGTTGTGGTATGGGGGAGGTTTTACTGCAAGATCCCTTCCAAAGCATGAGGGGTGGGGAGGGATGCAGGTGTCCAGCAGGTCACAACTCTTCCAGCACTTGTTCTGGCATACACTTTATGGAGACAGCCACAGGAACAGCTGAGGACAAGCACTGGCAGTAACACTGAATAAGTGACTCCATTTCATCCTTGACCCAGGGCAGCAGAGAGAGGTGAACACTTCTCTCATCAGAACGAGCAAAGCTTATTGCTTGTTTCTTCCTTCTACCTAGAACCTTCCTAGGTGTTCCTTTGTAAAAGACAGGAAAGCTCCTGTCACTGTTCTATGAATATATTAAAAAAATGTTAAGTACATTGTTGAGCCATTTCTGCCTCATTGCTTTCCAAATAGCAGTTAGTAGTAAGCCAGGGAGGTCACAGTTAAGAAACTCTTGAGGATGTCATTAATGGAAAACATTATTTTGTTTATAATCATTTGAGTGCTTTAGTGTTATTTGACAGTTGATGACTATTACACTGAATTAAGCCATGTAATGAGAAGGCTCTGAGACCTTACATAAATCTCTGGTATGTTTTATTTTGTTCTCCAGGTTTCTTGGTGCAGGTGTGAAATGGCTTATCCAGATTTTAAGTGATTTGATGTTTACAGCTATTCAAAGTATGCCTGTAAGCACAGAACTACAATTTTTTGAATGTGGAAGCCCAGGTAAATATCAGGTTAGTGAAAAGAAACTGTCAAACCACTAAAAATCTGATATCTTCTCTTTCCTGCACCCCCGCACACAAGTTATTAAAATGAAGTCATGCAGCAAGTAAAAATTATTCTCCTGAGAGAGGAAAAAGAGATAATTTTGGATGACTAGTGCCTTTTGATTAGGGGCTGTTCCACACAGGCACCCCTCACAAATCATCGCTGCACCCATGTAATAAACCTGTTCTCACTTATGGTTATGTTTAATTCTAAAGAGGATGAAGTAGATTCCATTTCCAAGGATTTTGACAACACATCTGAGGTATGATTCCCTCCCCAAGTCTATTTTCAAGAACAAAGCTGAGGTTGATTGTGGAGGAATGGCTATGCTAAAAGGGACATGATCTCCTTGAAGCTGACAACCCAGCTGGTAGTGTGGTGTGAGGCCTACAGCAGCTTAGACTGGGCCTTGTACTGCTGATAATGAGCGAGTTCTGCCTGGCAGAGCTGGCTCTGACTGGCTCTGAGTCTGGTGTCAACAAGCTCCCTGGTATTCCTGAAAACATCCTGGAATGTGGACAGACACCTGCTTGCTCCAATCATAAGTTTAACCTGGACACTGGGACAAGGGCAATAAACCAATCATGTATCCGCTGCGCTCGCGTACTCTGTGTGAATGTCTATATATATTTTGTAAGTACTAAGAATAAAGGAGAACGACCATACTCATATTGAGACTCATCGTTACTCCAGGTCCGGATCCCACTCCAACAGTTGGCTTTTTTCTTTTTCCAAGAACAAGCTTCATCTCTCTGACAGTACCATCATCCAAGAGTAATTTTGAGGCCACGTTGTATTTTTTTGTGCCCAGGCAGATGGCGCTGGTGGAAAGCAGCTTGGAGACAGTGGGAATGTCATGATACATGGGCTGTCTTAGCACCCACTACAATTTACAGTAGCCTTAGGGGTGCTGCAGTTGACACAAGCAAGGACAGATGTAGAGCTGTTGCAGTGCTCTGAAATGGCTGGAGTGTCACACTTTCCTTTTTTATGCAACTCTTTTCTGTGCATGACCTTGGTGGGAATGGATGTGGCTGCAGTATCTCTGGGCTGTGGACTGTCTCCTTGCAAAGGGCCACATGGTTAAAGCTTCAGTATTTCTCATGCTTGGTCACTGAACAGTGGTGGATACATAGCGGTTACAAGATGTACCAGAGATGAAGGATATAATTGGTTAAGGGATGGAGATTTTTTCCATGTTTCATTGGTATTTTTTTTTTGTATGAGTCAGGAAGAAATGTAATGAGCATAACAAAAATATTTAATGTGTATAACCTGATTCCAGAAGTGTTTACGCTTCTCTGAGGATTACAGTCTCTTAGGATTTTGAGAACATTATTGCCATACTTTGAAAAATGAGAGATGATTGTAACAGCTGTGGTTTTCCATAGCAGAGTGTTGGCAAATGGTTCCTTTCTATTTCTCAGGTCTTAGGTAGTTATGGGATAGTATTCAATGACAATATTGCAGTCTTTCCAGTTCCTTCTTTCTACAATTGCTTCATGACATAGGCAAACCTTTGAAGTGGTGACAAGGTCTTTATTATCATCACATTATAATTTTGTTCTCCATGTCTTAACTAATAAAACATTTTATAGTCCCCAGTATGTTATTGATTGCAGAATGTTTGCTTACACTCTCATTTTGGTTGCCAGGGGAAATAAGTGATCTAAAATTGTTGAACCTCTTTTTGCCACTCCAGATAGTAGTGTTGTTTTCAAACCCTAAAGATACAGCTGTTTCATTTTTTCATTTCCACACCAATGTGCCAAGTGTCCCCAGTTACAGCTCCTGGGATGAGTTCTTCTCAAAGTTCCTGAGTGGGAACAGTATTGTTGCAGTTACTGATTGTAGCTGAAGAAGCAACAGAAAAATATATTTAGAAAACAACTAAATGGGTCCAGTGGGAAAACAGCTGTGCCATAATTAGTTTACAGATGGCCACACGTCATGATAAAGGAGGCAGCTGAATGCCAGAAGGGGGAGAATGTCCAAGAGATGCTTCACTTCTGGGTATTTTGCTCTTCCAGGCAAGGGTGAGGGAGTTGTATGTCCGGTGGACAGTGGTGTTGGGTCAACATTGTGCCACTTGGTGATGAAGGAAATGCTACAGATCTGACATATTAATGAAATGTCAGTTTGTTCTCTTTAGTGTTTCTGAACATGAGGCCAAACACCTCATTAGCAACCCAAATTTTAGATTTACACTGCTGTCAGGCTTTGTCTTTTGAGGGATGTTTACATGCCAATATAGTAACAGAAGGGAAGCACGTAGTGAGATTCATATTTCTGTGAGCTAACCATTTCC